CGGAGAACCTTCTTCCCAATAAATTCCAAATAAAATCCCTCGAATTCTCACCTGTTTCTCCCCCGTTGTACCCCCCTCGATCGTACTATTTCCACTGATAACCCCCTCACCCCCCACAACACTGACCGCGGTATCATCACTCCTCTCAGTATTTCCCCCATCACCACCACTTGTTCCGTCATCCTGTTCCTTGTCAGGTGCCACAGGCTCCTGTCTATTCTCCGGCCCTGGGGCCATTTTGACCGAAATTGACAGCGCCGTATCAGCCGCACTCATAACCTCTCCATAACTGACTTCCACCGAATAACTCCAACCCCCCACCCCCCCTGGATTCACCGCATCAAAAATCCAGCCTCACACGCGTGATGAACCGCATAGTCCCCCCCCCCCAGCCCCCCCTGACGATCGCGAAAATAACGAAATAGTCCTCAATGTTTCATGAGTCGCTGTAGGCACTCCCACGTTTCATCGTCATCCGACATCACGCACTTTTCCCGCACTTCACCCTACGCACTAATTTTTTAATGAAAAAAAAACAAAGGACAAACAATTGCACTAGAATGATTAAATGACTTTGGAGGTTATAATTATCATCACTGTCACTCAATCCATCTCAGAATTTATCGAAGGACAGACGCATAATCTTTCTGTCATGTTTCATCTCGAGTATTTACCGCACACCTCACCCACTGTCATGTTCATTCCAGAGATGACGAGCATATTAATCCGGTGATAATTGTTGACTAGATTAATTAACTACCTCTCAATTACAATATTGGCCTGTAAAATCCTCGAGGGGGGTTCTTGACAAGTTATCGATCGTCAGGGGGGGTTACTTTTCGTCACGGGTTTGAGGACTTGCTAATACGTACACACATGCACGTAGGACGCGCGCTGGCGCATACATACACATCAGTTTCTGTGGTGGTGTATATTTTCACATGGATGCGGGCACATGAACGTGAGAGCAAACAGAACAGAACAGAATAGAACGCCGAAATGAGATGACTGTTGGGAGATGTGGAAGCTGTCCTCCAGTCTCAAATTTTCATTTTCTCCTGCATTTTATCCGTCCCCTGGAGACTCTGGGGAGCTTTCAGTAACAGGGGCATGATTGTTCCTGTCAATTTCCTCGATCCACACCTTCACAACCGTCGCTACGGCATTTTCACTGTCCCAATACAGACACAAATCCTTGGGCTCTCTCCTCAGTCACTCCACTCCTCGCACAGTTTATTTATTTATTCCATTTGATCGAGTGTCGGCTGCTCCGAGTTTAGTTCACATATTCTGGGGACTGTGGATTGTTATTTACACATTTTTTATTGTTTAAAATGGTGGACGAGGGATATCTGCGTATGGGGGTGAACTCCACTTGGATTTGCTGGAGAACTTTACGGATAAAACGGTATTCGCTTTTGCGCAGAGTCTGAGGAGCACACGGGACGAGACACCACTCGGAGGCGGACGGAGAGCCGTTGGGCCTCCGAAAATGTCGTCTGGTTGCGCCAGGTGTGTAACTAGTTATTCCAGATCCCCTCGGTTATTTTCCGCTCGTCGAAGGGGAATTTATTCACATTTTTCCTCGATGAAAATTATTTTCAATCACTCGAAGATGAATTTGGGATTGATTCTGGGGTGGGGATGATTTTTTTGGGCTGAGGATGGCGAAGGGAGACTTGAGCTCCGATCTGCCACTGACACTCTGACGTACCCGGTGGGATCGATAATACTCGAAGGAATGTTTTCGAGCTCGATTGTCATGGAATAGTCGACTCTTATCAAATGACGTTGTCGTAGTTGTTCATTCGTAAATGCATGCCGGAGAGCAAGGCCTAGATCTTACTCATACGTTTTCTTCGGGTGAGCGGTGAGTTCGATAGGTTCACTATTATCGTTTTAACGAATTCATTGGTATTCTTGATTTGTTGAATGATTGAGAGTTTGCGGTATAGGTGAAACAGAGAGCTTCCTGGGATTTAACCACTTGTTTCTCCAGCGAGTGCCAAATAATCTAAACAATCGAGATGACAGAGACGGAGAATGTTTTTATTTTTGTCCCGAATTTAATTGGTGAGTTTAAAAATTTTTTCACTGATTGTTTTATTGCATTTTATTTGAGACGATCACTTGTGAATGATGTTAATTAATTTTGTGGATAACACTTTGAGGTCTTCTTCAGCTGGATCAATACTCGATGAATAACGTCTCTTATTTTTATTAATTCTCGTTTATCGAAAGTTCAAAGCTCAGCTATTGGTGATAATTTGTTTTTCGATTTTCAGGTTTTGCCAGAGTTGTTCTAGCGATTATTTCCTTCTATTATATGCCAACACATCATGTAGTTGCGATATGGTGTTATGTGACGAGTGCTCTGCTGGATGCTGTCGACGGACATGCAGCTAGGTACTTCAATCAGAGCACGAAATTCGGAGCGATGCTCGATCAGTTGACTGATCGGGTGGGGACAATGTGTCTTCTTGTCAATTTGAGCATGTTCTATCCGGCCTATGCCTTCTGGTTTCAGTTGAGTATGGCTATTGATATTTCTTGCCATTGGTTGTACTTGCACACGTGAGTTGCATCATTGATTATCAACACTGAGAGAAAAACTCAAACCAGTCTTGTTTGAATGAAAAAAATCGCAATTTTAAAATGATCAAGATAGAAATTGTTTCAATTGAATGTAGGCAAGTTTCAATTGTGAATAATTATTCTGCATTCTACAACGACATATTTGACTCGAGAAACGGATTCCTCAGGCACAAAAAAATTTCATAGAGAAACTTGGCGAATTCGGAAGAGAATTCTTCCCATTCAAATTTCAGCCAATGGAATTCTACTATTCGACTGTTATTTTATATAATCAACACGGTATTCAATTGAGAATTTTCCGGAACTGGATTTTAACCAATCACAGCGCAGTATTCGAGGTCACGATACTCTTTTGTTATCAATTTTTTTCGGAAATTGCACACTATCTTCTGGAAATTGCATCTAATAATTGCATAGTAGCTCCTCATTTATTTCTAACCAATTGGATATTTTGCTGGAAGAAGCCCTCGAATATTGCGCTCCGCTTGGCCAAAATCCAGTCCCGGAAAATTCTCCGCCGAATACCCCTCGACCTGAAAAATTAATCACAATATTTCCCTCAAGCTTCCCTGCAAAAAAACAAAACTTGACACTTTCATTTGTTTGCAACGAAGCTATCGGGAAATATTCCGATAATTTTGAAGATCTCGGAGTATTATAACTGACAATTTTTTAGAACAACAAAGCAAGCCCTGTTAAGAAAATCTTCAGTTAACTATTGGAATAAATAAAAATGATCTGCCGATCAATTTTGACCGAAAGTTCATCGAAGGTATTTTATCAAAAAACGTGGTGTATCTGCGCATCATCACTAATGACCTAATAGTAATACCACTGATTATAAAGTATTTAGTCAATATTCACGACGGAATGACTGAATGAAAGCACTCTACGACGAACTGGTAAAATTTTTCAACTGTGGAATAAATTTACTCCAGACAAATTTATCCTGACGATTTATTTGGCTAACAGGTCTTGGTGCAACGGGCCCTGTATCTATTTTGAGACATATTTTTTTCATCTTTCAAATAACCTTCCTTAAATGTTCAGTACGAACTTTTTTATATTTGGTAATTTTCCAATTACCACTCTTGGTTTTTCAAACAAGACTTTTTTGAAAAAATATTTTTTTCTCTCAGTGCACACGTGCTTTATTTAAGTTATTCAAGATGTGTGTTATATGCGGACAACTGTTTTAGGACGATTTTGCAAGGGAAAACGAGTCATAAGTTCATTGATATGTCGGGGAATCCTATCATGAGAGTTTACTACACGAATAAACTCGTTTTGTTCGTCATGTGCGCTGGAAATGAGGCATTCTATGCTGCCCTGTATCTTTTGCATTTCACCGAAGGACCTACATGTGAGTTTTATCAGGGAATGATGAGATGATCATTCGTGGAATTATGGAGACGAGACCAACATACATTATGATGCCCAATATGATTGTAAGGAATGGTGGAGAAAATGTAAAGGACAGTTATCTAAATGAAACAATGTGTCAATACGACATTGTTTCATTGATGTTGTTTGCACTTCTAGCGATTAGCTAAGGTGTATATAACTGGTTTAACTATTAACAGAACTAAACATTAATCGAGGCGTGTGCCTGATGAACCTAAAATAATTTACAAAACGTTGCAAAATGGCAATTAGACTAACGTTGTTTTCATTTTCTCCAACATCTCTTGTAATCCTATTGGATATTCAACAATGCAAATGGGCATTAATACATTTTACTAGGGCTGTGGTCAAATGAATTGAGTTGATTTCATCCGATTGTCTGTTTTTTCAGGATCTGGCAGGATCTAAGAGATACACTGTTTAGAATTTCATGGAATTCTACTTGGTTATTTATTTTTTTGTACTGCTTCTCACGATTTCTCGTCTGGGAATGGGTATTGCATACTTTCCAAACTCGAAAACTTGAAAATCACTACAAAAAAATCTTGTCCGGGGCTGCTGCGATGGGTTTTTTTACTCGTGTGGTTGGCCAGCCCTCGCTTTAGGCTCGGACGCCAACGCCACACGAGTAAAAAATCCCATCGCAGCAGCCCGGAAAAATACTATTGAATGATGTTATTCTGAAGTATTCACATACTATTTTTCTTCACTGTGGCGGAGCATATTTTTTGATACGACGTTCGTGAGGGGCTTTTTAGTACACGCAGCGTGCGTCAAAAGAGACTTCACGAACTAAGTGACAAAATAGTGCATTTCGAAATAAGGCCTAAACCTTTCTGGCGAATTTGAGGTTGCAGCCTTAATCGACGGTGAGGGTTGCAAGAATATGAGCTAGAAACGTTTTTTTAGTCCGTGTGTCGAATTTTCTTTGTCATAACGGTCGCTATGCATTCGTAAATCGCTGCCTTACGGCCGGAATGACAACAATGTTATTTACGCGGAATATTCAGTTATAATACCCCGAGACCTTCAAAATTATCGGATATTTCCCGAAAGCTTCGTTGTAAACCAATGAAGGTGTCAAGTTTTGCAGTCTCGTGGTGCGCATTCGCAATTTTCCTGCAAAACTTGACACACTCGTTTTTTGATACACTCAATTCTGATTTTGCCGGAACAGAGTGCGGTGTTCGGGATTATGTGACACTTTTCACTAAAATGTGGAGAATATCTGTCAAAAGAAGGGAAAACAATTGATAGGCTATTATGGAATTATCAGTTGGACAATTCATCTGTAGCCCGGTGAATTATCAAAATAAAACTGATGTGAAGGTGTCACGTGATCCCGAATACTGCACTCTAATTGGTCGAAATCAGAATTGAGGAAATTGTCAAGGAAATTCAGTTTTTGAGGCTCCATCATTCTTCTTTAGATTTATACAAAGTCTCGTGACTGATTCTTTCTTAATGAAATCAACTAAAATTCAACATGAATCAGTAATTTCATATTTCAAGAATTTTTGTTTGGAATTTGATGTGCAATTTTTTGTTATGTTACTTCCTCAGCCATTTACAGGTGAAAATTTCGCTATATGCTAGAGATCCAAAATTTGGATATGTTGTTGAGTATCTTCAAAATTTCAAGTATTTCGTCCACGCCATTTTTGAGATATGAATCGGCAAACATTGAATTTTTGTATTTTTCAAAGTTTTGACGGTGCGATGAGTGGGGAAGCCCCTTGGTCTATCAGTTTTTCTGGAGAGGAACCCTACAAGCACGGTTCCGACAAAATTTGGGTTATATTTCTTCGATTCAGAAATATTTCTCGAACTATCAAATAGGAGCAAGCATTCGATCTATGAATCACGAATCATTTCGTCAATATCTTGTGAACCAATGAGAACCAATTGCATGTGAATTCCAATGCTATGAATTTGAATTCAATTTAACATCAGATCGTTCATGGAATTTCTCATAAATCTTGGCATCTCGGAGATCCAATGGAATCGAATTTTTCATATTAAGAGATCATTGATATTTCACTGAAAGCTTGAATTTCTTCAAACTTATTCTGAAATTTGAATATTACATATAATTAAATTTTCAATCCAAAATCAATAAGTTTACTGATACGTCAACCACACCATATATAGAAATTTTATCCCAATTAGTTGTTGAAAATTTTCAGATTTCTGACGTGAAGTTTCAAGATTAATTTCCTCACTATTTCAATGGTACTAATTCGAATACAATGGAATTCATTATTCATCTTGGAAATCCAATAAAATTTACTTTTTATGTTGAGAAATTACTAATACTTCAATGGTAGCTTGAATTTTGAAACTCATTTGAAAAATTGAATATTACATTCAATTGAATTTTGAATAGATTGGGAATTCAGAGAAATAGTTGCCTGAATTCTCACAATGTTCAATTGGGAAAACCGGAATTTCCTTGAACCTTCATGAAATTGACTGATCCTTCAATAACAATATAGATGAAGATTTTATGTGGTTTAATTGTGAACAATTTAGAGATTTTTTACTTCCAATTTAAAGTAGTATAAATATAATTCAAATTTTGAAGATTCAAATCTGCAGTCGGCAGTCTAGAATCATTAATCATAATTAATCTACAAGTGCCAAAATAACGCGGAGTCTTATGAGAAAATGAACATTTCAAGGTCAGGGAGAAGATGCAAACTTAGAAAAAATGTTGAAAAATCAGAAAAACAAAATAAAAATTCTAGGGGAATATTGGGCAAAGTGAAACGATTTGTGGTCTTGTACAAATTCCAATATCTTCATTTCTCAACAAAGATATTGGTAATTGAAGAACATCACAAAACGTTCTACATTGTTCCGCCCTCCCCCATGCTCATTATGAAAATTATTGTCAGGGTCTCCCTTTACTCTTTTGTAATAAATAGTGGGGAGCGAAATATTTTCGAACATATGGGGTTGCCACTATTATTTAAAGCAATAAATGAGACATGACTTTAATGGATTAATTTCTCATGTTCATCAAATTCAGAATACTTATAAAAAATATCAATAATGAATAATTATTTTTTTGGGCATTTCAAATTCATTTTTCAACTGGAGTCTATTCATACTACTTCAAAGATTACTTTTCTGACAGTGTAAGCACCCATTGGGTTGCAAGATAATTGCAGAAGAACCTGTAGAAAATTCAAAGATCCTGTCACATCGTGTTTTGCTATAGACCTCATTCGGAACACAGAAAAACAGAGCGCTGCTTCTCTCTTTGTTCAACAATCGTCACTCCTTCTGCTTCCGAATGGAAGCCTTGTTTTTGACCGATTTTTCGATTATCTAATTTTGATTGCAAATGGTCTAGAATGTTATGAAACGTGAAGAAATGATGTTTTTAAGATCATGTCTACTACATGTCTACAATTTGGGTTTTTGGTGATTAATTTTTAGAAAATTCAACATAAATATGGTGAAATTTATAGATAAAATCTGAATTTTCGACTCATTGTCGCTACCATTGAGCTCAACTTTGGTGCGTTTATTTAAATTTCGTTTTTCCTCAATATCTTAAAAACTACTGCACCGATTTCAATTTTTTTTTTTGAAAATACTCGTCTCGATGGCCTGTAAGTCAATCAAAATATATGGACTATTTAACGACTACTATGAGTTTTAAAAGTTGTGGGTTATTGGAGTGACATTTTTTTGAGCTACCAAAGATTTTTTTTTCAAAATTTTCGGAAAAATATGTGGAACAATAATTACGAGTCAGTTTTTTGGAATTCGACTCCTACACAGCTGATTTCGGTTTTTTTCATATAAAAAAATTCACCATTTGTGTAAAAAAATACAAAAAAAGCAAATTTAGCTATGTAAGAGGCGAATTTAAAAAAAATAGCGTAATTGTTATCCCACATAAAAAATTGGAGGCCCTGGACTGTTTTTGGCATTGTAAGCGTTTTCGGGCAAACGAACAATAAAAAAATTTTTTTTTGCACTAATTATTCGTTTTCAGATCGATATAATCGATCTTCAACGTATAAAAAGTCTCACTCCAATAACCCACGACTTTTAAAATTTATAGTAGTCTCCCCTTAAAAGGTTGAATATCTTCCTGTAGACACCCTGTAGCATGTGGTTGCGGTTGTATGGATGTCATAAGGAATTGCTGCGAATCCATTCAGAAGCTCACTTCCAGTGGAATTGGTAGAAAAAAAAGAAATAGACTAATAACACCAATAGTAACGGTCACATGCCTTCTGTCGGATAGGCTCATACCCCTGCTTGTTTTAAATTACTTCTCTCCTGGAATTATCTGCGGAAAATGTGCTCTCGCTGTCACTCACTTATTGACATTTCATTAACGATAAAAATGTTTTTATTGACTCTCTTTGTTCTAGTGCTCGGCATGAGTTTATTCAGGGCTGTGATGTACATTTCCGCTCCCATAGCAATCGTCAAGACTGCAATATCTGTTATCCACGGATATGTAGCTTCTCTGAATCTCAGTACAATCGACGTGAAAGAGCGTGAGGCTCTGCGAAAGGCGAAATAAAGCGTTCCAATTTTTTTTCCATTCTCTATTCTGTTCTATTTGAGTTACTAGTCATTGTTCTTGATCCTGAGTTACTTATTAATTCAATTAAATCAATTTTTATGCGCCCCCAATTGGTTGTTATTACTGTGGATCTGAGGGGTGATGTGAATCTGTGAAAATTGTACCTGTCTTTACAATGATAATATGTTTATGTGGAGAATAACTGCTCCGACAGATGTATGGTATCAAATGATTAATAAATGAACTAGTGTCTGTGACCTCCTCATCTTTTCTTCTCGTTGAAAAATATGAACAAAGCGCCAATGATTCATCTCCGCTCTGTGTCATGCGGATTTCGGGGTAAATATGACTCGTGGAAAATCACAGCTGTTTTTTTGTTCTTGTGGAAAAAATAAATATCAAATATTTCCGAATATTTCATTGTCACAATATTAAAAACATCCATCAGGAAGTTGATTTAGTATTTGAATTGTCATATTTTCACAAAAACGAAAAATTGCTAACGATAAATGATCAATTAAAATACAAAATAAATATTAAAATGTAAACTAACCTCAAATCGTCTCTATTGAATACCCACTGTTGCCTTCACTTCCTTCCAGGCGCACAGTTATTCCTTTGAACACTGTCGCATGTCAAAAAGAAATTACAACGTTTGGAACGGCAAAAAAATATTGAACTCAAAATTCTGTTTAATAACAATGATGAGAATTCTGATGATCCAACGATTTTCTCACTGCTCTCACTGTGGTAATTGAAAACCTCGGTGGCTACCAATGCAGGAATGACACCAGAATTAATATTACAAAAACATTGGATACGGGAAACTGTTGCCAAGTTGATTGGATCGTGGACGCGGGAGGGTGAGGGGAAGAGGAACGGAATGAATAGTCAAAAAGTCCAAACAAATGCCGGTTAGAACCTGCCAACTTCAAACTGACTGGCTGTCAATGTGTTGCGTGCGTGTGTGTTTTATTTTGCTATCCCCCACTGGTTCGAGAGATTTCGAATGATTTGGGCGGAGGGATTGGCGGAGAGTGTTCCCGCGCAATGTAAGTTGTACTTCAGTGAGAAAAAACTTCGGGGCAAAATAGACGCTTGATTTTTTTCGAATATGCAAGGATATTCGAGGGGACAGTTTTTGGTTTAGCTAACCGCGGATAAACCTCGGTTAAAGTTGAGTTAATTACGGGGCAAGATCTGCGATTGGTTGGAGTCAATGGTGGGGGCTCTCTTACCTTCATTTTAACCACGCGTTAAAGGGTAACAGAATGCCCTTAATTTTCCAAATTTTTGAACAAATTTCCTGCCGAAAGTTATCGATATTTTTACAAATCGAAGCACATTGATCTCCAGAAGGCGATGATGAAGATCAATGTGCTTTGGATGCCAAAAATATTGATCCTTTGCGCAGAAAATTTGTTTGAAAATTTCAGGGAAACGGTGGCCTTCTGTTACTTCTTAACCATTGAACCCTTTCGACTTCCCTTTTAATGCTCATAACCCAGAAATGAATTATCAATTGAGCTAAGTCTAGGGGCTCATCATAAAGGGGAACAATTATTGATATCGATATTTAATTGAGAATTATTGATTTCGTGGGGGGAAAATATCCCATCTCATTAAAATTAAATGAGTCATTAATTTTCTGTTAAACAAGTGGGACCTGTCTCTCCCCTCAGCCCTTCGATAAAATGTTGATAGAAAAATTTTATTTACACATACTGGAATGAATTTGAAACATTGTAGGAATTGAGGTTGTTGTGGGAAGATTCAATTCACTAACAAAGGTGATTTAATTAACTAATCACAGTATATTTACAAGACATTTAAAAGTAGATACAAAAGTAAAGATAGAAGTGATCCAGTATAAAGTTTGTAACCGACTGTTGTCTCAGGTGTCGGATGGGGGACAAAATCCCAAAGGGCCAAAATCCCAAACCGGAAATGAGGGAGGGGGAATGCTGAAGTAAGAAGAGGTGCCATCTAACGACCGGAGTGAAATATAGTATCGCCTTGTTCCTGCAGATGGCGGATGCAATATTAAAAGAATGTTGAAATCAAAGATTTTCTTCGTTTTGAAGGCTTCGAAAATCACGACGCGATGAATGCTACCGGGAGCGCCCGGTATTTTTTTTTTTCACGGGAAATATTGATCGAAGAGCAAATTCATTACAACAATAATATTCCGTGGCTATCGGACGCAATCGGGACAATTTTCATTAAAAAGAAATGTTTTGCAACAGTAGCAAGAGTTTATCGGGCGAGAACCGCTACAATTTTTTTCATTGAAAATAATAGATTTTCAACAAATTTTTGACAACATTTATACATGCAGTCTACCGGGTGGAACCGGTACTTTTTTCCCGAGGGAATATTATTTTTCCAACAATCTTTGACAACAATAATCTAGGCAGTCTACCAGGCGAAACCGGTACAGTTTTATTTTAGAAAGATATCTTTTTTTTGCATCGAAAGCTTCCATAAAAATGTATGCCACAGTCTACCGAGTGAAACCGGTACGGTTTTCTGCCAAGGAAACCATAAATTTTCAACAACAATAATATAGACAGTGTACCGGGCGAAACCGGTACAGTTTTATTTTTGAAAAATATATATTTTTTTGCAACAAATGCTGTCATAAGAATGAAACCAACAATCTACCGGGTGGAACCGGTGCGGTTTTCTGCCAAGGAAACTATAAATTTCCAACAACAATAATATAGACAATCTACCGGGCGGAACCGGTACAGTTTTCTGCCAAGGAAACCATAAATTTTCAACAACAATAATATAGACAGTCTACCGGGCGGAACCGGTACAGTTTTATTTTTAAAAAATATATTTTTTTTTGCAACAAATGCTGTCATAAGAATGAAACCAATAGTCTACCGGGTGGAACTGGTGCGGTTTTCTGCCAAGGAAACTATAAATTTCCAACAACAATAATATGGACAGTCTACCGGGTGAAACCGGTACAATTTTCTGCTGCGGAAACATTATTTTTTCTAAAAAATTTCAACAACAATAATATAGGCAGTCCATCGGGCAGAACCGGTACGGTTTTATTTAAAAAAAAAATTTTTTTTGCAACAAATGCTTTCATAAGAATGAAAGCCACAGTCTACCGGGTGAAACCGGTACGGTTTTCTGCCCAGGAAACCATAAATTTTCAACAACAATAATATAGACAGTCTATCGGGTGTAACCGGTACGGTTTTCTGCCAAGGAAACCATAAATTTTCAACAACAATAATATAGACAGTCTACCGCGCGGAACCGGTACAGTTTTTTTTTTTAATATATTTTTTTGCAACAAATGCTGTCATAAGAATGAAACCAACAATCCACCGGGTGGAACCGGTACGGTTTTCTGCCAAGGAAACTATAAATTTCCAACAACAATAATATAGACAATCTACCGGGCGGAACCGGTACAGTTTTCTGCCAAGGAAACCATAAATTTTCAACAACAATAATATAGACAGTCTACCGGGCGGAACCGGTACAGTTATATTTTTAAAAAATATATTTTTTTTTGCAACAAATGCTGTCATAAGAATGAAACCAACAATCTACCGGGTGGAACCGGTACGGTTTTCTGCCAAGGAAACTATAAATTTCCAACAACAATAATATAGACAGTCTACCGGGTGAAACCGGTACAATTTTCTGCTGCGGAAACATTATTTTTTCTAAAAAATTTCAACAACAATAATATAGGCAGTCCATCGGGCAGAACCGGTACGGTTTTATTTAAAAAAAAAATTTTTTTTGCAACAAATGCTTTCATAAGAATGAAAGCCACAGTCTACCGGGTGAAACCGGTACGGTTTTCTGCCCAGGAAACCATAAATTTTCAACAACAATAATATAGACAGTCTACCGGGTGTAACCGGAACGGTTTTCTGCCAAGGAAACCATAAATTTTCAACAACAATAATATAGACAGTCTACCGGGCGGAACCAGTACAGTTTTATTTTTAAAAAATATATTTTTTTTTGCAACAAATGCTGTCATAAGAATGAAACCAACAATCTACCGGGTGGAACCGGTACAGTTTTCTGCCAAGGAAACCATAAATTTTCAACAACAATAATATAGACAGTCTACCGGGCGGAACCGGTACAGTTATATTTTTAAAAAATATATTTTTTTTTGCAACAAATGCTGTCATAAGAATGAAACCAATAGTCTACCGGGTGAAACCGGTACGGTTTTCTGCCCAGGAAACCATAAATTTTCAACAACAATAATATAGACAGTTTACCGCGCGGAACCGGTACATTTTTTTTTCAATATATTTTTTTTTGCAACAAATGCTGTCATAAGAATGAAACCAATAGTCTACCGGGTGGAACTGGTGCGGTTTTCTGCCAAGGAAACTATAAATTTCCAACAACAATAATATAGACAGTCTACCGGGTGAAACCGGGACAAATTTCTGCTGCGGAAACATTATTTTTTCTAAAAAATTTCAACAACAATAATATAGGCAGTCTATCGGGCAGAACCGGTACGGTTTTATTTAAAAAAAAAATTTTTTTTGCAACAAATGCTTTCATAAGAATGAAAGCCACAGTCTACCGGGTGAAACCGGTACGGTTTTCTGCCCAGGAAACCATAAATTTTCAACAACAATAATATAGACAGTCTATCGGGTGTAACCGGTACGGTTTTCTGCCAAGGAAACCATAAATTTTCAACAACAATAATATAGACAGTCTACCGGGCGGAACCGGTACAGTTATATTTTTAAAAAATATATTTTTTTTTGCAACAAATGCTGTCATAAGAATGAAACCAACAATCTACCGGGTGGAACCGGTGCGGTTTTCTGCCAAGGAAACTATAAATTTCCAACAACAATAATATAGACAGTCTACCGCGCGAAACCGGTACAGTTTTCTGCCAAGGAAACCATAAATTTTCAACAACAATAATATAGACAGTCTACCGGGCGGAACCGGTACAGTTTTATTTTTGAAAAATATATTTTTTTTTGCAACAAATGCTGTCATAAGAATGAAACCAACAATCTACCGGGTGGAACCGGTACGGTTTTCTGCCAAGGAAACTATAAATTTCCAACAACAATAATATAGACAGTCTACCGGGCGGAACCAGTAAAGTTTTCTGCCAAGGAAACCATAAATTTTCAACAATAATAATATACAGACATATACCCGACTACCTGATAGACAGTCTACCGGGCGGAACCGGTACAGTTATATTTTTAAAAAATATATTTTTTTT